GTGCATATGTACATTTCCTGCGAGAACATTACAGTGTTGGCTAAGTGTGATGTGGAAATCCCCATTGCGCTGTCAGACGAGAAAAGATCATTACAGTTCAGCTTGTGGCTATCTTGAGATATTTATGTGGCCACGGTATGTTTCTAATCAGCATGAGGTTGTGAGAGTTCACCTGTATGTAGAGCACAGATGGCAGATCGTGTTGACACGCAGCCTGCCTCGGAGGGAGATTCCACTTATAGCTAGTTGCGAGCTGCCGTGCTGTTTAGTGCGCAGTGGAGTTTCAAGGGAAAATTTGGAGTCAGCCAAATACTGTACACATTTTAAAAAAAATAAACATTTTGTTCAGTCTCGTATTGAAAATGATCTTTTCATGCCTGCGTTTACTAAACGGTCTCATTCAAAGTGCAAAGAGGGGACATTTCATGTTAAATGAGATTACTTTTAGGACTGATGGCGGCCGTGGAAGCCCAAAATCTGATATGGACACCAGGGACCAGCTGGAGGAAAGGGTTTCCACCCGAGGTAGCGCTGCATCACCTACGGGCGCTCATGTGGCTGACATCTACCTGGCCAACCTCAACAAGTGAGTCTCGCATGCCAAAAAAATGCACAGCCCGATAAACACTGTGTCGCTCCCCCCCCCCCCCCCCCACCACAGTTATGACAGCTTTTGTTGTAACCCAACCAAATCTGACAAACGTGAGCACTCGTTCACTAACAGAGAAAAGCTGCTCAATAATTCTCTCACTCAGGATGAGGAAACGTCCAGAGTCTGGGAGCATCAGAAGAACATTCCGGGGCTCAGACAGTGAAAATTCAGGGGCCAGCGGAGGCGGCCTGGGTGGGGTCAGGACCGCATCGCTTCCTATCGGTGGAGCTCTGGTGAAGGAGTCTGCGGACAAACGGCCAGTTAGCGCTCACAGCATCCTCAATTCCATCACACGCCATTCCTCGCTGAAGACGAAGGTAATGTGACTTGGAAGATTTTGAGATTCTACTGTCAATTATTAAGACAATGAGGTGTTCAATTCATCAAGTGCTCATGAATGCTCAGGTGGAAAGTCCTCAGCTGCGCAAGTCAACTCCGGCGGGACGCTCCAAGAGCTTCAGCAACCATCGACCTCTGGAACCTGAGGTCATAGCCCAGGTGGATCACAGCTCACAGGTACCGCTTCCTCTCAGGTGCTGACTTAGTTGCAGTGCCCCAGCAGATAGAGCGCTCTCTCTCTCTCTCTCTCTCTCCCTCTCTCTCTCTCTCTCTCTCTCTCTCTCTCTCTCTCTCTCTCTCTCTTTTTAATACATACTTTACATTTCAAGCTGAGCAGTGTGTGTAAAAATCATTCAAACTACTTTCTCGGTTAATTATTTTTTATTTTTAAGATTTGTTACTGGTATTATGATGATGAGACCCAACTTCACTGGTTGTCAGCTGATTACTACTAGCACTGATATTAATAACAATTTAAAATTGCACGAGTTAACATCAAGTGCTTCACAAGTAAAGTATGTGCCTTGGCTCAATACATGTGGAGGAACACCCATGTGATCTAGTAGCTGGCTTTTTTTTTTTTTTTTTCCAGGCTACTAGCAATTCAAAAATTGCCTCCCAACAAGTGGCCGCACAGTAGTGTGACAATCTGCAATTATAGTTATCGCTTTTGGTGCTAAATAGTTCAGGCTTTGTCTTGTGAAAAATGTGTATTTTGTGATTTTTAACCCTGACTTTGGAAGATAAATGAACGCATTTAAAAAGCTTACAAAAAGAGTTCTGCAGTTTAAAGGCTCGTAGCTTCTACTTCCGTGTAACGCGGCCACTTCACAATTCAGTTAACGCTTCGTTCCTCTTTGTTGCAGGACATCGAAGCGGCAATGAGCTGCGCTTTGAATGAGCTGAGGGAGTTGGAGCGACAGAGCACCTCCAAACACACCCCTGACGTGGTCCTCGACACACTGGAGCAACTGAAAGGCGTGAGTGGTGGCGGTGGCGGCGGAGGAGGAGGAGCATCGGAACCCTCCAGCCCGCTCCACTCCCGCTTGCTACGGGACAGCGAGGGGGGCTCCTCACACGCCCACCCACTTCAGCGCAGCGCCTCCTCAGCCAGCGACGTGCCCTCCTCCTTCCGAGCTACCAAAAGCCAGCCCAGGAGCCCCCTTCCCTCCGCCACGTCGCCTTCCCTTTCCTCTTCCTCTCTGTCCTCCTCGGTTCCTTCCTTCAGAGAGCTGCGTCCCCCGGCAACGAGGCCCAAGCCAGTGGTGTTCCCCAAAAGCGGCGGAGGGAATGGCAGTACAGCTATGGGTTCCCCGACATCCACCGTGCCACCTACGCCTCCGCCACCGGGGCACACACATGCTCTCCCTCACGCGCCTCCTCCACCACCTTCATCCCAGTCGAATGACAAATCCTGCCCGGCTTAGCACCTCCTCGCTCCCAGCACAGTCCAAATCGAATCCCTAATGCTTAAACCAGCAGGTCTTCAAGCAGGTGTCGGAAGCACTTAGTTTGTTACGCATCCAGCACATACTAACCCACTACACACTGTAGCATTCAGACGTCACAATCCATTTTAGAGTGTCACAAGGTTACATGGCCAGGTCACTTTTCACTGATCGCAGCACGGAAAGGATTTTCAAGTCTTTCATGAGGGAACAGTCAGATGTGCTGATTAATGGGCACCTGCAACTTTCATACACTAGCTATTTTTAGGGGGGGTGGAAGTATTGCTCTCCTTTACACAGAGATTCACATGAGGAAGAAAGAAAACTTTTTTTTTTCCTTGAAGCGTTTTTAAGACCCTGTAACGATCAAATGGGATTGTTTGATTCCTAAGAAAAGACTGTGAAAAGTTTTAAGCTCTCTTGAAATGAAACACACTGTCTTGCTGCTTCACACATGGAAGACTGGAGAAGAAAAGCTCTGTATTGAAAGACCGGGACAATAACAGCACGAGTGGTTGAGAGCTTTGTCACTTGTTCCAGTCTTTTTCTTTGTTTTTTGTTTTTTTTTTAATATATATTGCTGTTTGGGATCTTGGTCTAGTAAAATGTAGCTAAAAGAAATACTAAATTGGTTGGGGAACCACAAGTGTTTGACCTGGCATCAAGCAAACAAACTGAGAGAAAACGAGTTCATGATATACACTATGTCATAATATTTGTTTGGTTATTGCTTCCTATTTTTTCTTGATTTTTAATATGGCCGTCACAGATGGCCACTGATATTGAAAAGGTTCCCCAGCCCTAAATAAAGCAATAAGAATCATGGAACGCTGGTAGTATTTTTGCTGCTTTTCGACTGCAGCTCTTCTATGTGTAGGGGACCACTGAAAGCCAGCATTTTTTATTTTCTTTGTAATGTTGGAGTGTACACGCACATGTTCTCCACAGATGTGTGTGTGGTGTTTTGTGGCAGCTAAACACCTTTCAGGTTGCATGCTGTGGCCATTTGACAGCAGCTTGCAATGACTAAATGGCTGATATCCTTTTATGTCCTTGCAATGCCAGCAAGAGGCTAACTACAAAAAAAAAAAGACGGCTTGCTCATATAATTATACTTCACACTTTGCAGTAAAAAAGAGTTTAATTATTCTAATGGTGTTCACGTATGTTTATTAATCATTAGGGCAACTGGAAGCATGGCGCTGAGGTCTTTTGAGGGTGTGTTTGAACACAACCAACCACCTCATCCAATTACTTCTTAAGCACCCTTTTTTTTCGGACTTTTTCACTGTTACTGTTTTACGGACAAATGTTGACCTGTGTCGCCGTCTGGTCGTGTGCATGTGTGTGCCGCTATGTGAGCATGCGTGGATGGATGGATGAATCCATTACAAGAGGATGGCCAAGGTATGAATAAGTCAAATATGTGTTGTCACCCGTGTCTGTATATTCACAGGATTTTGCAATAATACCACCGACCACAGAACTCTTACAAAGGTGGCCAAAGAAGACCCCGTTTATTATTACAGGGAGTAGCACCATTTAATGTTCAAATAAATTTCTCCTTTTGCAAGTATGTAAATCAGATCAGGATATAAATGCATAAAATGATTCAAATATTTTTTTTCTGTATATGAGACAGCTGCATCACACTCTCCCACGTATTGAATTACACTTGTACATTTTTAAATCTCGATCATGATTGTGTATTACTGTTGTTCTTACCTCATTGCAACAACTGGAGGGACTGTGACTGCGTGCTTGGTGCGCGCACACACAGACCAACATGGATGTGGGTGGTTGGTGCATTTGTGTGATCTCAAATCAAATCATGCACTTGAACAAAGTTGGCTTTGCGTGTTGACTAACTGTGTGCGGGTGACTTACCAGATTTTGTCATATATGCATTTGTGTCCATTTGGAAACAGAACTAAAAAAAAGAGAGGGACTCTTATGTCAAATTTATTTATAGTAGTCTTTGTATTACTGGAGAATCCTGTGTTCAGATGTACTTTGTATATAACAATGTTGTACATTACAGAGGTACACTCTTCTTTTTGGTACAATATTGTACAGTAATATCAATGGTGATTTAATCAAATAGGCCTTATATAATTCTATGTGTAGTTATGGTTGTAGATCTTTTTTTAAATAAACATTGCTTGCTATCAATTTTGAGTTGTATCATCTCTCTGTCCAACATCGAAATAGGTTGTATGTGCAGACAAAAGTAAACATGTTAAATATCTAGATTCCACACTGCAGGTGATTGAAGCATAAAAAATGAAATTTATACAGGACAGTAACTTAACGATAGTAAATTTTACTCGATTTCCCCCTCCTCTCGAGCTCGAAACGATTTCCAATGCTGGGAAATGGCCCGAAACTTCTTCTTCTTCTTCTCCTTTCGGCACGTCCCTATTCAGGGGTCGAAACATTCGGGGGAAATCCCGTGACTACAACTCCCAGAAGCCACCTCGCCCAACTCCATAACTTTTGGGATATTGCTTTTGTAACGTTTAATAATTTAGTAACGCTTAATTAGATAATGAAGACAAGTTATTTGTACTTAAGTATTATTGAATAAATTATAGGTTTTAATACTATTGCTGATGTTTTACCGTTGTTTGTATATCAATACGTTGTTATGTCACATGACCCACTTTAGAGGAGCTATTTTAGATTTAGCAATGAGTAAACTTTGTCGCGGTTCCCCTCTAAAATCCACTTCTTCAAGAGTTGACCTTTAGCGGGGAAGCAACTTTTGGACATAGTGTCACTTGTTTGAAACAGTTCAACTTCGCAAACTCAGCTTCATTTCCGCAATCAACAACTGAACGGCTGTAGCAGCGAGCAGACACTTCCTCCCGTGAGTTGGAAACACTGAAATGTGCTTAGCGACGCAACTTCGAGTCTAAATACAAAACGTTTGTGGCTCCATAAACCAAGAAAAGGATAAGGATAGTTAGCAGCAGCATTCATTGCAAAGGGCTTTCACCCTCAGGTGTGGTTTATTTTGCTCCGGACGTTTTTACATCTACAATTTTGCCATTTCGTACGTCTTTTCTTACATACGAATCCGATTTAAAGGCACTTTTTGGGGCGTAAGCTGATTACTGATACTCCTGAGTGGTAAGCTACAATACAATGTTCTGTTTGACATTTTTTATCGTTCTATTTCTGAAAAAAATCACCGTTAGCTAATCCTAAGCGTTTGGGTTATATATTTGCATGTGTAGGTACACTAGTAAGTCTTTATTTGTGTTCCACAGTTTGACACATGGGAAATTAAGCTTTGTGTGTATTTTTCTTTCATTCTGCCATAATGTCAGAGATGACAGCCAGCACCCCCAGCTACCTGTGGTCCTTACAGGATGTCCTGGGTCAAGGGGCTACTGCCTGCGTCTACAAGGCTCGAAATAAGGTAACCTCATTTTTATTTTTTTTCAAACACGATTGTGTTTGTCTTCCTCACGTCTGTGCTGCTCACATTTTGGCTGGGATAACATCACTCTGGTATTGCCCAAAACGCTGACCTTTTTCCCCTTTCTGGTTATTGTGTGTGTGATTTTTTTTTAAATTTGTTTAGCGGACGGGTGAGTTGGTAGCCGTCAAGGTTTTCAACTTGGCGAGCTACAACCGCACTCATGAGGTGCAGATGAGGGAGTTTGACATGCTGAGGAAGCTCAACCACAAGAACATTGTCAAGCTTTACGCCGTGGAGGAGGTAAAGCTGCCATTTCATAAAGGGACAACATATAATTGAAAAAGTGTACACTGGATTAGTTAAACAGACGCATTCATCTCATCGCTGTGTAAAAGTAAAATGTGAATGTTATGGGAAAATTCTCTTTTGCAGCTGCCATCTAAACAGAAGGTTCTAGTGATGGAATTCTGCTCGGGGGGAAGTTTGCTCAACGTGCTTGAAGAGCCAGAAAATGCTTTTGGCCTGGCTGAGGCGGAGTTTCTCACTGTATTGCAATGTGTTGGTAGGTTGAAGTTCACCCTGAAAGGACAAACGCGGTCCATTGCCAGTATTTGTCCCTTTCGTGAAAAAAATTAGAAAGAATACTTCACAGGATCTAACTGTTGCCATCATCAGTCTTAATCACAATCTCGTTTATTGGGTCACACGGGTAGCCCTTCACATTAAGCCGTAGACAAAAAGTAGCTCTCGGTTTCAAAAAGGTTAGTGAACCCTGACTTAAAAGCATTTCACATGAATAATTGCTCACTTCCTTTCTATTTTAGTACAGGGAATGAACCACCTACGAGAGAACGGTGTGGTGCACCGGGACATTAAACCAGGCAACATAATGCGTCAGACGGGTGAGGACGGCAGGTCTGTCTATAAGCTAACTGACTTCGGAGCGGCGAGAGAGTTGGAGGATGATGAGAAGTTTATGTCCATTTATGGAACTGAAGAATATCTGGTAAGGAATCACAAGAAGAGAAACGGTTTGTGTGATATTGGCGTGCTGCACGATCAAATGGGATTGTTTGATTCCTAAGAAAAGACTGTGAAAAGTTTTAAGCTCTCTTGAAATGAAACACACTGTCTTGCTGCTTCACACATGGAAGACTGGAGAAGAAAAGCTCTGTATTGAAAGACCGGGACAATAACAGCACGAGTGGTTGAGAGCTTTGTCACTTGTTCCAGTCTTTTTCTTTGTTTTTTGTTTTTTTTTTAATATATATTGCTGTTTGGGATCTTGGTCTAGTAAAATGTAGCTAAAAGAAATACTAAATTGGTTGGGGAACCACAAGTGTTTGACCTGGCATCAAGCAAACAAACTGAGAGAAAACGAGTTCATGATATACACTATGTCATAATATTTGTTTGGTTATTGCTTCCTATTTTTTCTTGATTTTTAATATGGCCGTCACAGATGGCCACTGATATTGAAAAGGTTCCCCAGCCCTAAATAAAGCAATAAGAATCATGGAACGCTGGTAGTATTTTTGCTGCTTTTCGACTGCAGCTCTTCTATGTGTAGGGGACCACTGAAAGCCAGCATTTTTTATTTTCTTTGTAATGTTGGAGTGTACACGCACATGTTCTCCACAGATGTGTGTGTGGTGTTTTGTGGCAGCTAAACACCTTTCAGGTTGCATGCTGTGGCCATTTGACAGCAGCTTGCAATGACTAAATGGCTGATATCCTTTTATGTCCTTGCAATGCCAGCAAGAGGCTAACTACAAAAAAAAAAAGACGGCTTGCTCATATAATTATACTTCACACTTTGCAGTAAAAAAGAGTTTAATTATTCTAATGGTGTTCACGTATGTTTATTAATCATTAGGGCAACTGGAAGCATGGCGCTGAGGTCTTTTGAGGGTGTGTTTGAACACAACCAACCACCTCATCCAATTACTTCTTAAGC